GTGGTTACCAGTTGGTTCCACACTGGGTCAAACTGAATCTTAATGATTTGTTCGAAACCTTTTCCGAGACAATTGTCAATAGTGATTTCATCACTTTCCAACTAAAAGAAAAGTACTAATAAATGTCATACATATACAAGTTCAATGTATAGTAGGAAAATTTGGGAGCATTTAATTGGACAAAGCCCACTAAGATGAGAAAACATCTGTCTGTAGGGGCAGTAGGATCATCTAACTATTATTAAAGTTAAATAGCCTAATCTTTATTGAAAGCAGGTGTGGTCACAATGAAATAAAAATGGTAGCTATCTGCAAGTCTGTGCTCTTTTGCAGCAAACAATCAGCAGGTAGTCTTGCTAGCAAGACTAATCAGCAGGATAAGACAAAACTGCTATCTACTTGTAAAAACTTCACCACTCTAGCAGCAAGAAGGTTGATTACAGCACAATAATAGCGTGGCTCAGGGACTAAGCCCCTTTAAATGTTTTACATTCTTCTAGTATTAAGATTGCAATGTACATGTATTGGTGGTGGGTTTAGCAGCCAGCCAGCCACATAAAAATAAAGCTAAATTTATCGTTAATCTACAAACAGCCAATATAAAACTTCGCCAATTTTCCCACTATACTTTATTAATCTCTTTATTAATCTCTTCCATCTCTCTCTATCTCTTACCAGTGAGTTGGTTTCCTTCAGTTCCCGTACACATGCCTTCATTATCTCAAGGACTGAGTGTTGTATAGCTGTCATTGAAGGAGTCATCTGCTGCCTCAGCTCAATAACATCAGGCTACATATGTATTGATATATAAGGAAGAGAGAGAGTGTACAAGCATTACATTTACAATAATGTACATTAAGTACCTGATGCCTTTCAAGAGATGAATTTACAACAGCATGAAACCTAGCTAGCAAGAGAGAGGGAGAGAGAGAGGAAGAGAAAGAGAGGGAGAAACAGAAAGAGAGAGAGACACACACAGACAAACAAATAGAGAGAGACAGAGAGACATAGAGAAACAGAGACAGAGACAAAGAAACAGAAAGGCAGAGAAAAAGAGAGGGAAAGAGAGAGAGAGAGAATGGAAATTGATGAAGGTTTATTCAGTACCGTGGCCAGAGATAGACGTTTTTCACAAAAAGGTTTCTCATGATCCTTTCTAGCTGACAGAACCCGGTTGTGAAATGCTCTGGACAATCACTAAAACCTTTAATAAAACCAGTCTAAAGCATTCAAAAATGTAAATCTAAAATTTAAATTTCAAAATTAAAATACACACAATCAGTGTACATGTACATGTACATGCACATGTACATGTGTACTACATGTATCTTTCATCTTTCCTTGTCTATTCATTACCTTATTTCCTTCTCTATAAAGTCTCAGTATAAACGCCTCACTGGAAGAATCGGTGACCCTGCATTAATAAAATTTAAAAAATTAATAACTCCTGAAATAATAGTAATAATTTTATTATTTTTGGATGGCCTGGTGTACTAAACATGTAACTCCCTCTTTTTCTCATACAGTCTTATATTCTGTGCTTTATAGTTCAAAGTTTAATTGGAATTGTACATGTACATGTAGTCGTACTATTTTCAAAAGAAAAATTTACATAAACATGTATAAAGAGTAAACAGCTTAACATTACATGTTAAGATTACAAATAGCTTAACATTACATTCTACATGCTTAACATGCTCTGTAGTAGACTAATACTAATATACATGTACTTGACTATGATACAAATTTTAAGTACATGCATGGTATGTACAGTACAAAGTACAAACATGTATCTATGTAAACTGCAGCTGTAGAGTTTACCTGTGGCAATTGTACACTAATATACCAGCAACTTTATCAACAGGACATACCTAATAGATGAAGAATGAGAAGAATAGAGAGGGAGGGAGAGAGAGAGGAGGAAAAAGAGAGAGGGAGAGGGAGGGAGAAAAGGAAGGAGTAAGAGAGTGAGGGTGTGACAGTACACGTACTTTTCTTAGCATATCAACTACTAATATTCTTGATGTCACAAAAAGTACGCCACCTTTTAAATAGAGCTCTTCCCTAAAAATAACAAAAACAAAAAAATATAGAAATATAGTAATCAATATACGTGTACATGTATACTGACAAATTACTAAGATTAGAAATACATGTATGAGGAAATAATTACAGATTACAGCAAACAATGTATATATGCATGTAAAATGTGTAATTATAATTGTATATGTACATGTGGTATGCATACCTTTCTTTTGCTGGAATTTCATTTGTAACTGATCGTGGTATCTGCTGTATATTATTACTCAAAGAAGCAGCAATATCATTCTTAAAATGATCCTATAAATATATAAATTACTGCATAGAGTGAGGGTAATATTAAGAGCCTATTAATGCACATAAATGACATAATGGTTCAAAGCAACATTTTTCAAATTTTAGCACCTCAAAAATCACCCACAATACTGTAATAATTATTTGTATATTATACTCACTTCATATAGCGTAGAGGAACCAATGACAAGTACCAGATTACGAGGGTCTGAATGCAATTTAAGAAACTTCATAAAAAGTCTATCTAGTCCTAGCCCCCTAGAAAAAAATATTACAATACAAAAAGCTGTTTAGTCACTTTGCTAGTATTATCAAACCATCTTCAGAAACCAGCTCTAAAAAGTTTTCATTTTCAAAATCAAGTGTAACCGACGCCATTTTATTTGGCTCAATTTTTGACAATTATTGTCAATTAATATTAAAACCACGCCCAACTATTAAAATACCGTAGGTCGGGATATACCGTATTCGCGGCTGCAATTATTCGCGGTCATAAAAAAATTTCAATTAAAAACCATGGAAACCGAGGTGTTATTTTAATTGAAAACGGCGCGATAGTGAAGGAAAGCACCTTGTTGCAGTGTTCTTGAGCTGTTGTTCTTCTTGTGTCACTAAGCCTTGGGCTCTTTGGAGCTGTTTTACCGGTTCTTTTCAGGACTAGTAGTGTCTCGCCGTATTTTGGGACTCTCCACCCATTCTAATTAGTGTTTATTGACTTGGGCGTGGTTTATTATCATCAACACGCGGACCAGCAACAACTAGCAGCAAAGAGGCTGAAATAGCTCTGAGGTAGCGGTCCATACAAGAAGTTAACAGATAGAGAAGGACTCGCTATTGGTGAATGGCTCCACTATAGCTGCTAAAGAACAGATGAATAGCTGAACACTAAACACGTGGTCTTAATTGTCATAGCAACGCTCTAACAGTTTCCATGGTTTTTAATTGAATTTTTTATGACCGCGAAT